AAAAAAAAAAAAAAAAAAAAAAAAAAAAAAAAAGAAATTCTACCTAGGAATTTTTTCCCAGCAAAGTGCCCTCAGCTGATCTCTTTGCTAAAAGGGCCACTTAGTAGATGTGTGAGAAGTGTCAAAGACACTCTAGGGACACATGAAGCCTCTCCTTGACACACTCAGAAGGTTGAAAGTGCAGAGGGAATTTTGAAACAGGACCACTGAATAGTAGTTGCTTCCCTTCCTTTCCCCTTCTGGCTTCCCCAAGCCCTACCTCACACCCATGCGCTCCCCCAACCCCTCCCTACCTGGACTTGTGAGCTCAGGGCCACCTTGGGAGCCACTGACTGAGGATGGTGGTGTCTCCGTGGGCTCCAGCCACTAATATCTCATATGAGGCAGAGCCCCAATTCCTTCCATCAACTAGAAATGAACCCCTTTGTGCTGAGCCCCTGGAGTTTCAGGGTTTACTCATTCAATCAGACAGCATGACCTTTACCAGCACAGCTATTTCTGAGACCCCAATGAGACGCCTCTCTGAAAGATAGCACTTCTACTGTGAATTCTGGATCGGCCAAGGTCTGACCCTGCCTGGATGGGGGCTCCAGGAGGCAGGGCACTCCCAAGGCAGGACACCCTCACTTCACTGGCATCTCAGACACTGGATAAAGCTCGATTCTGATGGGGTTCATCTCACAAGCCCTTGGCTCAGCACCCACTGACGCCCTCACTCTCCACATCGTAAGATCCTCCTCACCCTCCTGGTCTGGTTGAGATTGGGTATGTGGATGGTGTAGACGCCGTCCTCATTGACCCCAGACCTATGGATCTCCTCACAGTCCTGGAATACCTGCTCAGCTGCACCTGTGGAGGCAATAATGGGACAAAGCAAAAATCATGTGGGGATGAGCAAGGAGAGGGAAGGGACAGGGTGGATTCCCCTGCTTGCCGTGTGCAGGTTCTGGTGGGGAGGTGCAGAAATGGGGAGGTGAGCCAGACCTGGGAAGTCTTCCTAGAGCTGGGATGCAACAGTGAGAAGGTGTTCCTGGGTATTCCTGGGTGGTATTCTTGGCAGAGGGAGCAGCGTGATAATGGCTTCAAGGTGGGTGGTCTAGTGTGAGCTATGGGGCTATGGGGGGCCGGATGACTCACACCATGAGTGGGGAGTCTTTGCAGAGAGTTCTCTGGCTACTTGAGGTAGGGTAAGCCTGGCACAGAGAGGTCAAGGAGGGAAGAGTGCAGAGTGCAGGTGTTTTCAGCAGATCTAGTTGGTCTGGAGGACCAGGCTAAGGAGCCTGGACTTCTGTGCCCAGGAAGAACACTGTGGTTAGGGTGGAACTGTGCATAACACTCCTGGATAGGGGTCTCTCCTGTCTGCCTGCTAGCTGTACCCAGTTTCTTATGGTACATGGGAACTGGAGACCAGACCAGCAGGAGGAAGGTGCTGGTGCAGAAGTGAACAGGACAGGTCCTATTTCCCCCAGTAAGGCAGGGCCCAAGCTGGCCACTGATCTGAAACTTCCAGCCACCAGTCTACACACTGCAAATTTCTATGGTCAACAAAAATATCAGTATCAACAATGATAAAAGTCAGGTAACTATCACAGTTGTGAATTAGGGTGTTTCAGTGCCCATTGGCTTTTACAGAAACCACTTGAAGGGAGGTGGGACATAAAAATAGGCAATACTGTATGGATATACAACACAGTGGAACCCCAGCCTGGGCTCCCTGTGAGGCTCTCGGCTGGCAATTCATACCTGTTTTGCTCTCTTTAGGCCCCAGTCACCTTGCTTAACCCTTTCCAGTGCACAGTCTTATCTCATCTTCAGCGCTAGAACTCTGTGAAATTATCATCCTCATTGCACAGGTGAGGAAATATGAGGACCTGGGAAAGTCTCAGTGTAAACCAAGGATGGACTCAGGGCTGGAACTCTTGCCGAGAGGTCATGCTCCCTTCCGGCCACCTGACCCTCAGATTTGTGCCCACAGTGTTTCCATCACAGGGCAAAAGTATCCCACAAGGACCCTTCTGAGCAGCAGTGGAGGGTGCTTGGGCTAATGATACCCATATTGAAGAGCCATCACCATCTCCCCCACCGAAGGTGAGCAGAAACTGGAGATCAGAAGAGCTGTGAGCCTGTGGGGTGAGGCGAGCCTTGTGCTTGGGCTCAGCCACAGATCCCACACATGGGGCTGATTCTGCAGTCTCACTGCCAGGCACAGGCCCCAAATGAGTTCTGGTCACTCCATATCTTGTGGGTTGGAAGGTACCAAGCTCTCCTGCCTGTGGCTTCCTTGGGCCTGCTGAATTTAGGATGGAGCCACAGTGGGGTCCTCTGCCCCCAGTCCCTATCAGCATGGTGCCTGGGGTCCCATCACTATTGCTGGATTCCTTGTCTTTGAAGGCTTCCTAGGCTCCCCATGACCATCCAGCAGCAGTAGGAGCCTCTCTCTGGCCTGCTTCTCACCCAGCCATTCTCGACTCCCTAAGATGAGGCTCACTCTGTCCACGATATCCTCTCTGGGCTCAGGTGAAAGTCCCCTCTCCTTAGCACAGTCCCTAGGCTAGCTCTGCTGTGGGAGCTTCAGGAACACTGCTAGCACAGCATCTGACACACAGTAGGCACTCAACAAACAAGTGTTTCCTCCCTCCCTCTGAGGCCTGCAGAGGGGCTGGTACATTTGCAAGAGATAGGTCAGTCTGTGTGCGTTTCTTGATTGAGTGAGTGAATCTGGAATCAGGAAGCCTGGGCCTCTGAGTGGGCTATAGAGGGAGTAGGGAGTGCTGGGCAGCAAGCAGGTGGGGCACTGAGCTCCCTTCTCAAGCTGGTCTGGGAGGCCTCTTGCCTTCACTGTGGTCTTCTTGGGGTTAGGGGCGGGGCATTAACAGGAGAAAAGTCCTTGGGGTGCATTGAGTCCCATATCCTCATTCTATGGGGGAAACTGAGGCCTGAGGAGGGGTAGGGCAAGCCCAAGTAAGCAGGGCTAAGGAGTGAATCCTAGAAGCCAAATTTGTCAGCTGGGCTGCTGCTGTCCTTGTTATCACCATCACCTCTGTCGATCAGATAGGGAAACTGAGGGTAGGTATGGGTGGGATGGGGCTGACCCAGGCACCTGTGAAGTCAAGAGGTAGAATCTGTCTGGCTTCTCTTAGAACTACTGTTCTCACCATTGTTGTTACTGCTTGTGTTTATTTCTATTGTGTAATGGCCAGGAGGGTGTGGCCTCCCTCAGAATGGTCCTGGCCCAGAGTAACCCTGGAGGCTCAGTAGGGCTTTTTCCTGGCTCCTGCCCTCTTCCCCAGCCTCCTGCCTTGCACACCCTGGTTACTCACCTTGGCTCTGCTCTGTCAGGTGCATGAGCTGCTTCAGGTTCTCCAGGAACTGGTGCTGCCTCTGCTGTAGGAGGCTGGAGTTGTAGCTTTCAGCTTGTAGGTTGTGCTGGATGCTGGCCAGGGTGCAGTTCTGGTGTTTCAGCAGCTGCAGCAGTGGTGCTTTCAAGCTGTGGATACTGGCAAGCTGGGCCTGTTTCTGTACCTTCAGGGTGAGCAACTTAGTCTCCAGGTCACTGGGGAGAGGGTTACATGGGGGTCAGCCTACTGTGCTACCCATATCCACACCTGAAGACTTCTTATTTGGGGTCACACATGCTTGGCATATTAGGTGTGGACTGATGAGTGGTGTGGACTGGGGTCCAGGGGAAGTCCGAGGTCAGGTGGCCAGGAAACAATAGCATTCAGGCAGCCATTGTCTAGCTCCAGTACCCTAGTGGCATAGGGACAGGGCTGAGAGGAGGACATTTTTATTTTTGATCCAGGTTTGCAGACCCTTTCTCAGGCTCAGAACTAAATCCATCCAGAACAGAAGGAATTGACCCAGGCCCTGAATTATAATGTAGGAATAGAGAATTTGGGCACACTTGAATTCTGGGATTCTGTCTGTCTTCACTGCATTAGAACTTATTGACAGTGTCTTTGATCTCTGTGGGTTTCTAGGCACTTGCACAATTCAGAGTGATTGAAAATACCCCAGTATTGCCATCCAGACCTTGGGAAAGGTCTTGAGAAAAAAAATCAGCTACTAATGAGAGGGAGAGGACAGTCCTTATGATTATGCCCCAAACCCAGCATACAGGAGCAACAACTATCTCGTCCTGGTTACACGGTTGTTCACTGATTAGGTTTTGCCTCTCCTGGAAACTGGACCTTGGCAATTTTTTTTTCCACTCAGCTGGAGACCAAGATAAAATCTGCTTGGGGTGTCAGCTTTCTCTGCCTTTTCTCTACTCTATGACTGTGTTTTTTCCTTTGTAATTTAAAGGGTGTTTCCCGATGTAGATTTGTATATAATGAAGGGTCTCTGCCTGTATAGACTAGAAATTGGTAATTGTGCTGTCCTAGGGGTAGGGGAGCAGGTGGGATGCATCAGGTTTATTTGTTTGCAAATCCAGAAAGCCAGTTAAAATGTACACGATGAATTATATGGTGTGTAAATTGTATCTCAATAAAGCAGTTAAACATTATAAGATAAAAAAGAGGAAAAAGAATCAAAGTGTCCTGAGCTGAAGAACATGCCTCTTCTCTGCCCCTACATAATGCTGGTGGCTAATCTTTGGGCCTGCCTAGCCCCTAGCTTGGCCAGCCCTGGCACCCCTCTTCCTCCCAGCTCTTCTGGACTTCAAGCTGTCCAGTCCTTAGCAGACCTGGCCCAGCTCCACTGTCAGGCCCAGACCCCCACAATGGTCCCTCACCCCAGTCCTAATCCAGGCCCCAGTCCCATCCCAGACACTGGCCCAGGTTCAGCTGCCAGCCCCAACTCCAGCCTGGGTCCTGAGCTTGAGAGTCTTGCTGGCTCATTTCTTGCCTGGTCTTTCATACCTGTTGCAGCCATGCGGCTGGCTGAGCTCATAACTCTGCTCCTGTAGCTGCTTCTCTAGCTTGGCAATGGTCAGGAAAACCTCTAGCATCTGGATCTCCATGCATGACTTCTGGTTCAGGACCTGTCCCAAGGAGCAGGAGGGTGGAGGCACTATGATCCCTGCAGGTACCTACCAGCTACCATCAGCTTGCACACAGGCCTGTTACTACCGACACTTGCTGACTGAGAACCACCCTCCATGTTATTAGTCCCTGTGTTCACTCATGCACTGAGTGTATCGGTGTGCTTCCTGAATTTTCCCTTGCCTATCACTGCCAGTGACAGTTCCAGTCTTCCTGTTGTGATCCTCCAGGAGGATCAGCTTTGACCCCTTATGCAGTCCATCAGCAAGTGCCATCATCCACCCCTTCCAAATGGTCCCCACCCTCTTCCCTCCATGGCCCCTGCTTCTGTTGTCTATTGCCCAGTGTCTTGCAATGGTGTCCTCACTGGGCTCCCCAGCCCACCCTTGTTCCCTCTAGTCCTTTCCCACTCAGCGGTCTGAGGTAGCCTTTCCAAATGTGTCCCTTCTGCTCAAAGTCTCCCTACTGTTCCTCCTGTCCTCACCAAGGCTTACCAAGCCCTTGATAGTCTCCGGCATCGCCTCTCTGGTTCCACCTGCTACTCTCCCCTGATCAGTCTAGCTCACTGGTATCCATACATTCCTGGAGCTGCTCCCATCCTCCCACCTCCTGCATTTGCATGAGCTCATCTCTCTGTTTGGCAAACTGAGCTGGGCTCCAATGCTGCTGCTTAATGGTCCCTTCTGGCCTTGCAGTGACACTGGCAGCTTTGTCCCTCCCACCATACTCAGGAACCCCCCACCTAGCTCTCTCTTAGCATGGTCACTGTGTAACCTACATGTTCTTTATCTTGCTCATTTTCTTGGTATGTTCTGTGGAATGGTGATGCACATGTGTCCTATGTACTGCTTTGAACTGGGACCAGGCATCTGAAATGGGGCCTGCACACAGTGGGGTTCAGAAAACCTGCACCCACTTGTTACTCATGGGTGTGTCCATTAATTTCCCCTGTTCCTTCTCACTGCTCAAGGAGTCCTTGGCCCCTGAGGCCTAAAAGATTTTTCATTATCCTTCTTCCCCATATATCTAAAGCCCCCGAGGGAGCAGGGATTATACTGCTATCCTGTTACTGGGGCTCAGCCCATCTTGAACACTGCACTCAGACTACGAAGCTGGGCCCAATGTCCACCCAGCCTCTCAGGGTCTGCATCCCAGAGGGAGGTTGGTGATGATGGGACTGGGTCCTCAGGGAAGGATTCCAGGAACCTATGGCCCAGAAGAGCCCTTGACCTGACCCAGAGACAGGGGTCAAGGCAAGGTGCCAGCCTGGCTACCCACCCATTCATTCCCTATTACCTGATCCTCCATGTTTGTCCACGCCTGGGTCTGGTTCTGCAGCATGGGGGTTGTGTTTTGCTGGTCCCGCAGCAGGTCTGGTCTCAAGATGATCAGGATGTACCCCTCCAGCTGGGGAGACCGTGGGCTGAGTCACAGGCAGAGGCCCGAGCAGCCTCCTGTCCCTCCCAAGTGTCTCTGTGGAGACTCACAGAGCAGTCAGAGGCTCCAAATGGGCGAGTGTAGTGGTTTATGTTAGTTATCATGAGCAGGCCGTCAGAGAGGTGTTCCTTCTCACTGCTCAAGGAGTCCTTGGCCCCTGAGGCCTAAAAGATTTTTCATTATCCTTCTTCCCCATATATCTAAAGCCCCCGAGGGAGCAGGGATTATACTGCTATCCTGTTACTGGGGCTCAGCCCATCTTGAACACTGCACTCAGACTACGAAGCTGGGCCCAATGTCCACCCAGCCTCTCAGGGTCTGCATCCCAGAGGGAGGTTGGTGATGATGGGACTGGGTCCTCAGGGAAGGATTCCAGGAACCTATGGTCCAGAAGAGCCCTTGACCTGACCCAGAGACAGGGGTCAAGGCAAGGTGCCAGCCTGGCTACCCACCCATTCATTCCCTATTACCTGACCCTCCATGTTTGTCCACTTCTGGGTCTGGTTCTGGAGCATGGGGGTTGTGTTTTGCTGGTCCTGCAGCAGGTCTGGTCTCAAGATGATCAGGATGACCTCCTCCAGCTGGGGAGACAGTGGGCTGAGTCACAGGCAGAGGCCCGAGCAGCCTCCTGTCCCTCCCAAGTGTCTCTATGGAGACTCACAGAGCAGTCAGAGGCTCCAAATGGGCGAGTGTAGTGGTTTATTTTAGTTATCATGAGCAGGCCGTCAGAGAGCATTGATAGTGTCATAAAAAAGCAATTAAAATAGCCCACACAGATTAAGAGCTATTTCAAGCAGCTAAGCCAAACTTAGGGATACTGAGACAAGAATGGCAAAAGCTACAATAGAGATGAGGACCTTTTCTCCCTGGGAGAAGATAGGCTAAGCTAGTGAATAACTTCTCTCTACCTATAGACAGCTGGACTAGAACTGGAGAAAACATAAGAAATGCAAAACAATCCATTTCTTTTTGAACTCATATTCTTTGAAACAAATCCCTATGTTCTTCCTATTTATATAAAGCCAAGAGAAAATGTTGGACTTCTTTGCCCTCTTGGTGGGTACCAACTAAGAGTTTTATTTCTTATTATTATTTCTAATAAACACTCCTAAATTATCCTTCGTCCTCAAATTTCTCCTTCAATTTTTGGAGACAAAGAATTTAAGTTTATATAAAATTAACTATGTCATACCACCAAGATGGGTCTGGACTTTAAATCCAGTGAGCTGAGTTTGGTAGGAGGTAGGAGATCAGAGAGCATGTATCTCTTTTCCCTTTTTTTCTCCTTTAACTATGGTTACATTAAAGAGGCAGGTAAGATTTATGGTTATGTTAGAACTAGCAAACAATACTCCATAACCTGTGTTTACTGAAAAACCTAGGGGAGCTTAGATGGGAGTTGAGAAGAACGTAACCCCCTGACCTCAGACAATGAAAAAAGGGAGAAGGGACTTTATAAGCTAGGGGGATAAAAGAAACAGCTTCTTTGAATCAGGGGTGCTTGACTCTAGGCAGACACCCACTTCTGCAAAATCATCATTAAAGTTCTGCTTCTGCTCTATTGGGTATTAAGTCTACTTATGATCAGTAACAGTTTTCTAAACTTATAAAGGGCCTCAAGATGTCAGTACAGTCAAATCCTGTAAATTCCTGTTAAAGAAGTCTAAATTTTGTCTTAAGAGTAAAAACTAAGTCATTTTTATGATGGTAGTATAAGAACAGGAGGTCATAGGCAAGAAAAAAGGATAAAAGAGAATCTTATCTTATTGTTTTTTTTTTTTTTTTTTACTAAGGATTGAACTCTGGACCTTGTGCTTGTGAGGCAGGCAGTGGAACCACTGAGCTAAATCTCTGGCCCTTCATTTAGCTTTACTAAAGAAATTAATAGGAAATCTTCCTAAAGGCAGCTTTTGTCTCTACAATTAGACTTCAGCAATTAGAAAGACAAAGGGAAAGAAAAAGAGAGAAACTAGATTGGAGAAGTTATGGGGTAACACAATTGATATAAAAATTTAGCAGGAAGAATCAATAGGCAAAACAGAGATGTAGCTAGGAATAAGAAAGACCAGTGTAACCGGCTCCTATCTTCACCTGATAAAGTACAAAGGAAACAAGGGGAAGACACCTCACTAGGCTTATTTAACATGCAAAAGACACACACACCTATACATATACACTTGTATGTATATTCTCACTTCAGTATCAGTCTACCACTGTCCCACTGCACCAGATACACACATCCCCTTCACATAATTTCTAACTCAAAGCTGCCCTTCTATAGGGTTTCCCCTCTCTATACTTATCTACCACAAAAAGACAGGAAAGAATCAAATGGCCAAAAGAATGTAGACAGAGGTGCCCAGGATAGAGTCAAAGACAACCAGAGAGTCGGTCAGATTGTTGCAAGTTCCAGGTGCCCAACATGGGGTAGGGACATAAGTCTTAGTAAAAAGAAAAGGGGGGCGAGGACAAAAATATACAGGTACTCATTTTCTGATGCCTCCTATGCTTTTAGAGTAGCTGTCAATATTCTCTTTTTCCCCACCCTTTTCCAAATAAATAATCTTCTTTATTTTTAAATTCTGACTCTTTAATTCCTTACTGGTGGTGAGAGTTTACAATCCTGATAGCTGCAAGTTCCAACAGAGCAGTGGCCTGGTGTGCTGCACACCCTCGGATGTGACACTAGTTACTGCCAATCTCATGGAGAAATAGGAAAGAAGTAAAAAAATAGGTAGAAAGGAAGTAAGGAAATCAAAATTTAAAAATTGTACTTATAAGTAAAACTGCAGGTTTAAAACACCAAAGTACTCAAGCCTTTCTTCCCTTTCAGGAAAATCACTAAAAAAAAAAATGTCTCTAGGTCTTAAAAACACAATTAGCCTGCAAACTGGGCCCTTAACCTGTCCTTTTCACCTGTAAACTGGGCTTCCTCCATTCTTAGGAAGCAGCAAGATTGGTAGGCAGCATACCTTAACTTCAAACACGTGTAAATGGCTTGCATTGTAATCTAGCAGATAGTGAGAATACATTTCCTAGATCCCCTATCTTAAAGAGAACCCCCCCTAAGATGTACCCAAATCTGGCTTATCCTGTGTCTCATTTCTCTAAGCATCCACATTCTACTCTTGAGTGCATTGTATATCATTTTCTAATAAACTCTTCTATTGCCTTTTCCTGATGTGCCCAGATTTTTTTTTTTTTTTTGTGATGGTACTCAATAAATCTGCAAACTTATTTTATAGAAAACGGTGGGTTAAGTTCCTTAGGTTCAGCTTCAGGGTCCTTTAGATTCACCCCAATGATATCCATCACCTTGATGACAATGAAGGGATTTAAAAAGGGGGATGGAGACCATAGAGACCTGGATTCTGGTGAAGCTCAGCCAAAAGGCTTTTCATTTCTTTTTTCCTCTTTCTCTCTGTGTCTCAAATCCTTCCACTTTTGTTGTTGTTGTTTTCCTGATAATAGCAGAGAGAGGTAGGGAACTAGAGCATGGAGGAGACCAGTTCTAGAGTGGGAGGGGGAGTGCATGGCCTTTGATATGGGAGCTGCAGTTATTAAGTGATATCTTTGGATTTTAAATCCTCTGTAAGTTCCTTATGTGTGTGTGTTATAGGTCCCTGGATATAGAGATCTTTGCAGTAAATTTTTGAGTAAAATCCAGCTGCTTTTTGATCTGTTGATAAAGGTTAGATCAGACAGATTTCTCTGTGACCAGCAGGGAAGCTTACTAGACCGTGAGACAAAACTGGGCCGAGCCACCAACTGTGGAGAGTTCTGACTGGGGGAGAAACAGAACAAAGCTGCCACACTGGGCAGTTCTGGTTCTAGAAAATGGGGCAGGCTGCACATGCAGTGTGACCCTAGCACAGATGACCTAGCTCAGTTTGGGTGCTCCCACTGCTGTGCAGGGGAACCCCGGGATGAGGTGGGAGCTCTGGCTGCTGAGCATGGAGTGGAATCCCACCTTTTCCTCTTTGTTTTCCTTTCTCTATCTCTTCCCAGAAGTACATAAAAGAGATGTTTAAAGGCAAAGTAGATTTTATATGACTGTGGATAACTCAATGTCGGTCCCCAAAACATTACCTTCAGGTAATGTTATAAACTTGGGATCAATTTAAGATAAAAGCTTTTTGTCATGCCTGACTTAAACAAACAGGATAAAGCAAACAGGCTGCTTTCAGCAAACAGCAGTTTCTCAGTAAACAGGAAAATGGATTCAAAATGAAGCATACAACCCTCCTGGCCCTGAGAAGTCCAGTGATCTTCTACACACCTATGCAGACTGTCCTTGGACTCAGTCATAAACATTTCACCCAGATTCCTTTGCCCCTTCAATGCTTACAGAAGCCTAATTCCTTTCCCGGTTAGCTGCTAATATCTCTCTCCCAGTGATAGCCCATCCACCCACAGATGAAATTTCTCCCAGGTAACTGCTGCTGTTTCTCTCTCCCAGTGGCCCATCCCCCTGTGGATGTAGTAAACTTGGCTTTTTCCAGCTAGCAGATACTTTCTGATTTTAGTCCCTGTTCACGGCAATACATTTTTCTTTCAAAAGCCCATTTTAAAAGAGTAGATTCATGTGCCATCTGGAACACTTTTAAAAGTTGATTTTTGTGCAAAGGTAAGTTAGGAGTAAAAAGACAAAGCTCTTGTCTCTTTTTCCCTTCTGACTATTGTTGGTTAAAAGTCTGTATTGTTAACAAAAAAGGTATTCAGGGTAGCTTAAAGTATTAAAAGAAATACTATTGTGACTTACATAAAAAGAAGGGCTAATTAATAACCACTAAAACATTCTAACTGACTATTTATAGTTATAAACCTACAACATTAAAAATATTATTATAACTGAACATGGCCAATGCATCAGAGTGCACTTTAATCTAATATAGTTGTTTTTATGTGTTCTATATGTTATCTTTTCTGTCTGTCTGCCTGTTAATCTGCTTTAATAATTGGTTAAACATACACACCTCGTGATTTTTCCTGTAAACTTCCTGTTTCAGGTCCCTTCCTGTCTCTCAGGAGCTTTCTCTCTCTCAATAAATTTTTCCTTCTTTTAACCTCCACTCTTCCTTAGAATTCATTCTTCAATTTTGGAGAACTTGAACTTGGTGAATCTTACAGCTAGCACATTGAGAGTTTTCTATTACTCTCCCTATTTCAGTCTGACCTCAGACAGCCAGCCCTGGCCACTGCTCGCTCTCCTCCCCTTCTTCCCTTTGTGTCATCATCTGAAGCAGAAGACATGTCTTCATGCCCTCTTTCTCACCTTCATCTAAAAGGGATGAACTGTTCTCTCTGGCTGTTTGCCCACATGGGAAGGGCGTGGTCCATGAATAGTTGGGAAGGGCCAGCTTCCTGTTCTCATGCTGTCTAGTCTGTTGTGTGATGCCAGGTGTCCCACTTCCCCTTTCATGTCCCAATTTCTACACCTTAAAGCCCAGTTCTTTGTGCCCAGTGAGGCCTTTGGGGACGATGACTGTCCCAAGACTGCCTGCTGCTCACAGGCCAAGCCATACCTTCTGCAGCCTCTGCGTACTGTACTTCAGCACATTCTTCAGCTGTTCCATTTGTTGGTCAGATAACAGCCCTGCATGCAAGGTGGGTAGCTGGTTCTGGGTGTTGTTGGATGCCTTCAAAGCTGTGGAGTTTGGTGGGCAGGACGGGAGCTCAGGCAGCAAGATGGTGTAGCTGCATTGGTCATGCTGGATTCCATACACCTGCCTACGCCTGTCTGCCTGCTGTCCCTTCACTCGGGTTGTAGTGATGGTGGCCACCAGGAGGAGGAGGTTGCCCAGCAGCATAGCTGGTCAGAAGAACATCCAGAGATATATGCTGAGTAGAGGACAGGCTCTCCCTACTGCTGCCTGCTCTGCACCCAGGTCACACCAGTGTGGCCTGTGGCCCCTGCAGAACAAGTCCTCAGAACTACCGTGGCTGCGGATTCTTGTGTGTCCAGCTCTGTCTGTGGCTATTTATGTTGCTAGTACCACAGCTGCAGGGCTTCATGGCCTCTGCTTCTACCCCCAGGCTGCTCTTCACCTCCGGGATGTTTCCTTCCTTCTGTCCCCAAGCAGTCTCAGTGGCTTCTCTGCCAGTCCTGCCTTCGAGGCCTGTGACTGTCCAGTGGGGGCCTGTCCTCTTTCAGCTCACAGTGGAAAGAAAACATGAGGGACAGGAACATACCACACTTCTGCAAGTCCCACAGCTTTGAACCCAGTGCTTCTGTGCTCTCTTCCTGGCTCTGTCCCTCTATACTTCCTCCTTTGATAGGATAAAGGAAATAAAAACTAGTTAGGAAAGAAATTAAGATTTCAAAAATTATTTGTAATTTTCAAGAAATTTTCAATTTGCAGCTTTAAGATGCAAAAGTTATTCAACCCCTTTTCCCTTCCTGGAAACTCACTAAAAAAATGCCTAAGGGTCTTAAAGACAATAATCCTGTAAATCTGGGGTCTCGACCTGTCCTTTTCACCCATAAATTGTGCATCTTCCACCCTCAAGAAAGCAGTAATATTGATGGGCAGCATATTTCAACTTCAACCACATGTACATGGCTTGCATTGTAATCGAACAGATAGTAGGAATGCATATCATAGATCACCCATCGAAAAGAGATTCTCTAATTATACCCAACTGTGGCTCAGAATGCCTCACCTTTCTCTGAATACTTGCTCTTGTCCGGTCTTGAGTGAGTTAAAAAATCTCTAATAAATCCTTCCTGTATCTCTTTCGGGATGTTGGGGTCCTGGAAATTCTTTTTCTGAGACAGAAGCATTGAATCTGAACACTTGTCTACAAGCGTGGGATAGATTTATTATTTCAGCCCAGTGACACACCCAGCCTTTGCCCTCAAGGCTGCATTCTCAGTCAGTCCACAACTAGCCCTTCTTAGCCTCTTCAGCTTTTCCCCTGGGTTCCCTGTTAGCTTTCCACTTGGATAAGGGCAAATGACAATGCAGAGAGCACAGGGAGAGGCAGAAAGGTAAGGGTCCGGTGAGGCCAGGAGAAGCAGCCCAGCTATGTGTTTCTGGAGATTCAAAGAGCTGGGTGCACCTGTGTGGAACTGGCTCCTGGACCTATTTCTCACTAAGGAGGTAGGGGTGCCTTGTGCCCTGAGATAGCACTGATCAAGTTGCTGGGACAGTGATGAGAAGTTGTCCCAGGGCAGGCCTGGGGTGATGGTTTGTGGGGAAAAGAGCTTGGGGTGCAACAGGATTTTGGCCAGGCTCTGGCCCCCACAGTCAGGTACTGGCCCTAAATCTTGCTCCTTACTGGGGGCCAGGAGACCTCACCTCTCTGGAACTCCACCCCTAATCTGTGAACCTGGGAAGCCTTCTCTCTTGCTTGAGAATTGCATGTGAGTCTTCAGCAGGGGGTACTAAGGGATTATGAGTTTGATTTTCAATATCTGGCTCCTATTAGCTGTGCAAATTTGGCCAATTCCCATACCCTCTCTATGCTTAGTTTATTCTTCAGTGGGAAAAATAACCCCTCCTACCTTGTAGGGCAGGAGAGTTAATTGAAATAGGGCAGTGTAGGTACCAGGTGAACATGAAGTGAATATTCTCTGTTCTATGATTGTGACTTCTTCAGTTCACAGGACGGAAACCCCGTGAGGACAGAGCTTTCTCCTTGGAACTGTGGTGGCTGTGCAGGAAGTGTCTAGGGGCTGGAGTGTGACCTTTGGGCTCTGTCCCCTGCTGGCCTCATCTCCCTCCCTGATGGTTTTCTCAGGTAGGGACCGATCACTGTTCAGTATTGTTTCTTTCCTTTTATTTTCTCAAGACCTGATGAGGTTTTGAACTGGGAAGGCTGCTTGGGAGCAGCAAGGGGTCAGGGGCTCATGAGGGTACAGAGAACACTGTGCCAGGTGAAGGGCTCTGGCAGAAAAAGGAGCTGCAGGTGGCTCCAGCCACCAAGTTAGCCAGGTCTCCTAGAGCTCTCAGCCCTGCTCTGTTCCCCCTCTGCAGATGGGACCTTGTTTTACAAAAGAGGAAATTTAACCTCACCCAGAGCAGTGGAACATTTTGACCAAGATCACAGAGGGGAAATAACTCCCAACCTGCTAGATGACATGTTCCCCAAACTGGAAGAATGAATTCTAAGGAACAAGGAGGTCAAGAATAGGAAATATTTGTTGAGAGCAATTGCTTCTGAGAGATAGGAGGGGACTCAAAAGTGCTTGACATGGACGCCACTTCAAAGAGAAAGTTTTATAGAGTAGACTCATGAGGTGAGTACACAATAACAAGCTGTATACCACAAGGGACAAAACTATGATCAACCAATAAGATTACAAATATAGCTGCTTAGGTAATAATCGATCCATTGGGAAAGAAGGTCACATGACAAGTAACATGGAAAGAACAAGGACCTTTCCAGGAGGAGTTGAATCGGGAGGTTCTCGTCACCCACCTGGTGACTGATATCTTATCTAGATTTTACTGGAACAGGTAATAACAATTACGGTATATTTGCATATCCCTTGGGGGAGTCATGTAGTCCTGTGCATTCCATCTTTATGGACTTAAATGGATGCACCTTCAAGCACAGTTGTAATGTGTTTTTATCCTCTGCACTGACTTCTTCAAGGGCCTAGCTCTTTTGAACTGCTTACAAGTTTATACCTAATCCAGATGCCTATAGTACTGGCAATGAGCAAGGGCCCAGCCTTCCCAGTCTGTGTCTGTGCAACAGAGATAGAGTTCACACCTTCAGTGGGCATTTGGGCCTTGCTGTGGCACCAAGATGACTGTGGGAGCTCTCAGCATAGAGATGAATTTGAATTTGCTAAGAGATAAATGAATGAATCAATCAATGTAGAGGTACAAGGATGCTCAACAACTAGGCCACACACCAAGAGGTCCTACAGGAGATTTTATTAGGGAAGGCAGGTTAGGGAGAGAGGAGAGAGGGAAGAGAGGGAAGAGAGGGAAGAGAGACAGGAGAGAGAAGGAGAGAAGGAGAGAGAGGAACAAAGAAAAGAAGGTCCTTCTATTGGTTTTGGGCTGGGCTATTGCTTATTTATGAGGAGTGGGCTAGGTTGCCCTTACAGGTTTGGTCCTGCAGAAACTTAGGTTTAACTCCTCCAGACCTGCTGTGGCCTTGAGGGGAGGGAAACTAAAGAGCATGAGGTCATTTTAAGAGGCAAGAAGCACCAGGAGAATACAGCCCGTGATGGCAGAGTCAGGTCCCTAACAATCAGTGAATGAAGCAACAAATGAAACGTGACTTCCCTCATGGCGCACGTCTTGTGAAATTGATGTGGGGCCCAGAATTGTACAAAGTAAGCTCTGGTCAGGACACAACATAGATTCTCATCTGCAGGAGGGCACAGGCAGGACCAGAAGAAGAGTTCTGTGTCCAGTGGGTGCACTGGGTTGGAAAGCCTCCAGGTTATACCTGCACTCATTTCAGCACCACCCTGACCTCTGGGCCTTTGCATGTGATGCTGTCTGTTCAGAGCACTGCAGTTGGTTTCATCCCAGAGGCTTCCTCCCTCACCTGTCACACCTGGGAATCCCCGGTCTATTCATGTGGTGACTCCAACATGGTGGGTTCAGTCAGCCAGGCTTCTCACAGGGCCACAAAAGAACACATGGCTATGAGGTCAAGTGGAAACCTCAGGCCTTTCATGCTTTGAAAGTTATTCCAAGCATTCCCACACCTCTTGGCATAATGCTCTATCTCCCTCCTAAGTTCTTTCCTTCTTTTTTCTTCTGCAAACAGGACCTTGAACTCACCAAGTTGCCCAGGCTGACCTCAAACTACTGGGGCTAATTCAACTCTTGCTTCATCCTCCATAGTGCTGCAAATACATATGTGCACCAGCATGCCTGGCCGCCACCTTAAATTATTAATGTATTAAGAGCAAAGGAATTGGTGCTGGTTATGATTAGGGAGCCATGTAACCTGCGTTGAAAAATGAAACTTTAAAAATTAGATTTTTCTTTGAGAATTAGAAAACTTCTCCAAGTTTCTTCTAGGTGAGTATATAACCAACGCCTCTTCCCTCTTTAGCCCCAAAGCAGTGACAGAATGTGCAGATGCCGCCCCAGGAGGCTGGTGCCTGGTTCCCTTTCCACTAGAAAGGGGAGGATGACTGAAGATGGCTGGAAGTGATAAAGCAAGCGCGGGACCTGCATTGTCTGTTTCTGCTGCCATCCCCTCTGTTCTTTGGTATCAAAGACGCTTGGCCACCTGTACATGGTGAGAGGGTGATTTGAGGCAAATGAGACCCTCCATCTCTTTGAAGGTAGCTTTGAATAAATCCTTTTTTCCCTTTTCACCAATACAAACGGTCTCTTTTGATTTAGTCAGTGGTGAGCTAATGAGCACCAGTGTGTTTACCCATGTGTCTGGTAACGGTTTTGGGGAGCCAGGCATAGGCAAGGCCCTGCTCCTGAGGGGTTTGCATCCCAACAGCCACTTGGGAAAAGGGACCAACTGTTCCTGGCTAGCTTAACCCAAGGTCAGGACACCAGGGAGATTCTGGAAGCTGGCAGGGTTATTTTTGCACCTAGAAATCTTCCTCCTTTCCTGTTCATGGCATCAGCTGCCTTTAAACTCTTTTGTTGGTAAAAGGAAAAAAGTTTGAGTAGGCAATAGCTCCACCTTGTTTCCCACTGAAGAGTGCATGCAGGGATGTAACTTTCTCCACCATTTGGACCCTCTCTTCAGTGTTTTAGCAGTGCCGTATGGGGTGAAGCAAGCACCTTCACCATCTGTAGTGATTTGGACCAACTGCAGTCATTTGGGGTCACTAACTGATGGGAGAACTGATTCGGAGGCAGAAAATGTT